TTATTTGGGAGGGTATCCCAGTTTTTAAGGGGGTTTTTTTAGGGGGTGGTATCCACTATGGGGGAAGGGGTGTGTGTTTGGGGGGGTATCCATTTTGGTTAGAGGGGTTTATTTGTTGGTGGTATCCAATTTTTTTGAGGGTGTGTTTTTTGGGTGGTTCCCATTTGGGTTTTAGAGAGGTGTGGGGTTTGGGGTGGTATCCCTTGTGTTGAGGGGTGATTTTAGTTGGATGGTATCCACTATGTTTGAGAGGTGTGGGGGGATATAATTTGGGTTATTTGTTTTTAGTGGATGGTACCCCACTATGTGTCGAGGGTGGGGTCATTTGGATGGTTCCAATGTTTTAGAAGGTGTAGTTATTTGGAGGGTACCCACATGTGTTAGAGGGTGTAGCATTGGATGGTATCCATATGGTTGAGGGTGTGTCATTTGGGTGGTACCCACTATGTTTTAGAGAGGTTTTTTAAATTTGGATGGTATCCACATGTGTTAAGGGGGGTGTAGAGGGGGAGGTATCCATATGTGTTAGAGAAGTGTAGCATTGGATGGAAAAATCCCCTATTGTTAGAGAGGTTTAGTCAGTTGGATGGATCCACTATTGTTGAAGGTGTGTCATTGGATGGTATCCACTAGGGGTTTTAAGGGGGTTTTAGTTATTGGATGGTATCCACTTGTGTTAGAGGGTTGTTTAGGGGGATGGTACCCCCTATGTGTTGAGAGGTGTATTTTATTGGAGGGACCCACTAGTGTTAAGGGGTGTAGTTGTTGGGGGGTTCCAATGTGTAAGGATTTGATTTTATTTGGGTTTTGGATCCCTATGTTTAAAAGGGTGTTAGTTGGGGTTCCACTTGTTTTGAGAGGTGTAGTTATTTTTGGAGGTACCACTAGTGTTATGAGTGTATTTTTAGTTGGTTTTACCACTATTGTTAAGGAGGGTATTTATTGGATGGTTCCATATGGTTAAAGGTGTAGTTAGTGGATGGTATCCTAGTGTTAGAGGGGTTTGTATTTATTTTGGATGGTATCCATATGTGTTATAGAGGTGTTTTAGTTGTATGGTATCCACATGTTTTAAAGGGGTGTAGTAGTTGGATGGTACCATGTGTTAGAGGGGTGTATTTTTTTTGGATGGTACCACTATGTGTCGGAGGGGCAGTTGGAGGTATCCCTATTGTTAGGAGGTGTAGTTATTTTGGATGGATCCACTAGTTTTGGAGGTTTTAGTTAGTTGGATGGACCCACTATGGTTAGAGGGTTTTGTTTTAGTCATTTGGGGATGGTACCACTATGTGTTGGGAGGTGTAGTCGTGGCTGGTATCCACTATGTGTTATAGAGGTGTAGTGTTGTAGGTTAGTTGGATGGGTATCCACTATGTGTTATAGAGGTGTAGTTAGTCGGATGGTATCCACTATGTGTTAGAGAGGTGTAGTTAGTTGGATGGTATCCACTATGTGTTAGAGAGGTGTAGTTAGTTGGATGGTATCCACTATGTGTTAGAGAGGTGTAGTTAGTTGGATGGTATCCACTATGTGTTATAGAGGTGTAGTTAGTTGGATGGTATCCACTATGTGTTATAGAGGTGTAGTTAGTCGGATGGTATCCACTATGTGTTAGAGAGGTGTAGTTAGTCGGATGGTATCCACTATGTGTTAGAGAGGTGTAGTTAGTCGGATGGTATCCACTATGTGTTATAGAGTTCAGCGATCTGGAGCCGTCAGTCCTCGTGAGCAGCGGGGGCCCTCGTCGGTGGCTCTGAGTTGTTTTCCCCACAAGCGGGTGATAATGGTGTTTGTCTGGAGTCCCTGTAGCCACATGCGTCTGGTGTCTGAGCCGTCGAATTGAGACTCCTCCTCTCTTTCCCTATAATGTGTATTTCTGCTTGTTTGATTGTCTTGCGGAGGTCACAGATGGTCTGTTTGATTGTCTTGCGGAGGTCACAGATGGTCTGTTTGATTGTCTTGCGCAGGTCACAGATGGTCTGTTTGATTGTCTTGCGGAGGTCACAGATGGTCTGTTTGTACTCGTCCACGTTTCCAGTCCCTTACCTTGGTTAAATGCGATGGTTCACGCTTTCAGTTTTGCGCGAATGCTGTCCATCTATCCACGGTTTCTGGTTTGGGTTCTAATGGTCACTTTAGGATCAACATCCTCTATGCACTTCCTGATGAACGCAAAGACAAGAGTTTTTGTCGATTTGTCGTTTTTGTGATTAACTTTGTGAGCAGGAATCAAAGCCAAGCTGCAATGGAGCAAACTACCCAGTACGCACACACACACACACACACACACACACACACACACACACACACACACACACAGCTGTCTGTTGTGGTGTCTGATGCAGTACCTTGTTTTCTCCAGGTGAGGGAGCTCTCTGCAGAATCCCTATAGAGAACATCCTGGCTGTAGAGAGGCTGGAGGAGGAGTCATTCAAGATGAAGAACGTAAGAATACAACCGCCAAACACCAACCGCTAAACACCAACCGCCAAACACCAACCGCCAAAACACCAACCGCCAAACACCAACCGCCAAACACCAACCGCCAAACACCAACCGCCAAACACCAACCACCAAACACCAACCACCAAACACCAACCAACAAACACCAACCACCAAACACCAAACACCAACCACCAAACACCAACCAACAAACACCAACCACCAAACACCAAACACCAATACCAAACACCAAACACCAGCACAAACCAATACTGTATTAATATTATGAGCCTAAACAACCTACCAGTCCAGACTACAGATAGTCTGTCCATCTATTTAGATCTACATTGGGTTCCAGGACAATTGCTCCTATGTCTCCAAGGACCTGGTCTTCTGCAGGAGTTAGATAGGGTTTATCCAGTTCTGGTTTTTAACAGATCCCTCTCTCCCTCCTCCCCCTAGATGTTCCCCTGGATGTTCCAGGTAATCAAGCCGGTGAGGGCTAATAACTGTGTACCCTTATTGTATTCAGTGGGGCTTTATTGGCATGGGAAACGTGTTTACATCGCCAAAGCAAGTGAAATAAACAATAAACAAAAGTGAAAAGACACAAAACAACATCAACAACAGCAAACTATTAGAAATGAACAGTAAATATTGCACTCAAAAAAGGTTTCATAAAGACAGACGTTTCAAGTGTTATATTATCAGCTGTGTACAGTGTTTTAGCAATGTGCAAATAGTTGTAGTACGAATAATGTCACGGTCGTTGAAGGACGGGTCAGACCAAGGCGCAGCGTGAAATGCATCCATGTTTATTAACCCGAATAAACATACAAAACAACAGGTGACGTGGCGTGGCGTGACGTGACGTGACGTGACGTGACGTGACGTGACGTGACGTGACGTGGGAAGGCAATACACTAACAAGCCCAAACTCACCGAGCACAAAACAAGATCCCACAACACAGGCGGGAAAACTGGCTGCCTAAGTATGATCCCCAATCAGAGACAACGAGCGACAGCTGCCTCTGATTGGGAACGACACCCGACCAAACATAGGAATACAACACATAGAGTCTAAACTCACATGATATTCACACCCTGACCAAACTATCTAGAGTTCAGGGAAGAATAAACAATGTTGTTTGTGCTCCACTGGTTGCCCTTCTCTCATGGCAACGGGCCTCAAAGCACACTGTGGAATTTCACCCAGTAGATAAGGGAGTTTATCAATGTTTGATTTGTTTTCTAATTCTTTGTGGGTCTGTGTAATCTGAGGGAAATATGTGTCTCTAATATGGTCATACATTTGGCAGGAGGTTAGGAAGTGCAGCTCAGTTTCCACCTCATTTTGTGGGCAGTGTGCACATAACCTGTCTTCTCTTGAGAGCCAGGTCTGCCTACGGTGGCCTTTCTCAATAGCAAGGCTATGCTCACTGAGTCTGTACATAGTCAAAGCTTTCCTTAAGTTTGGGTCAGTCACAGTGGTCAGGTATTCTTCCACTGTGTACTCTCTGTTTAGGGCCAGATAGCATTCCAGTTTGCTCAGTTTTTTGGTAAATTCTTTCCAGTGTGTCAAATCGTTTTTGCTTTCCAGTGATTTGGTTGGGTCTAATTGTGTTGCTGTCCTGGGGCTCTGTGGGGTCTGTTTGTGTTTGTGAACAGAGCCCCAGAACCAGCTGGCTGAGGGGACTCTTCTCTAGGTTCATCTCTCTGTAGGTGAGGGCTTTATGGGGGAATGTGTGGGAATCGCTTCCTTTTAGGTGGTTGTAGAATTTAACAGCTCACTTCTGGATTTTGATAACTAGCGGGTATAGTCCTAATTCTGCTCTGCATGCATTGTTTGGGGTTTTGCGTTGTACAGAAAGTATATTTTTGCAGAATTCTGCATGCGGTGTCTCAATTCGGTATTTTTGTCCCATTTTGTGAATTCTTGGTTGGTGAGCGGACGCCAGACCTCACAACCATAGAGGGCAATGTGGTTCTAGAGGGCAATGTGTTCTAGAGGGCAATGTGTTCTAGAGGGCAATGGGTTCTAGAGGGCAATGGGTTCTAGAGATCGATGGGTTCTACTGTATAGCTGCTATAATATCTTTAGCCAGATCCTAATTGGGCTGCTGAGTGTTATGTTCCTTTTGATGGTGTGATTGGAAGGACCCTGCTTTGGCCTTGGCCTCTTAGATTGTTTCCCAGCCAGGACTCCCCCTCTCTATCGCTCTCTCTCGATATCGGTCTCTGTCTCTCTCTTAGCTGTCTCTCGCGCGCTCTCGCTCTCTCGCCTCGCTCCTCTCTCTATCTCTCTATTCTCCTATCTCTCGCTTCTCTCTCTCTCTCTCTCTCTCTGTCTCTCTCTGTCCTCTCCCTTCTCTCTCTCTCTCTCTTCTGTACTCTGTTCTCGTCTATCCTCTTCGTCTCTCTATCTTGTCCTCAGCCTCTCTCTCGGTCTCTCTCGGCTCTTCTCTCTCTTTCTCTAGGTACACCCCCCCCCTCTATCTCGTATATCTCTGTCACCCCTCTCCTCTCTCTCCGTATCTCTCTCTCCCCAGATGTTCCAGGTAATCCAGCCAGAGAGAGCTCTCTACATCCAGGCCAATAACTGTGTGGAGGCCCGGGACTGGATAGACATCCTGACCAAGGTCAGCCAGTGCAACAGGAAGAGACTGAGCACCTTCCACCCCTCAGCTTACCTCAACGGACACTGGCTCTGCTGTAAGATGTCTGCTGACACGGCACCAGGCTGTACACCCTGTACTGGGTGAGTAACTGGGTCGCTCTCTCTCTCTGTCTCTGTCTGTCTCTCTGTCTCTCTCTCTCTCTCTCTCTGTCTCTCTCTCTCTCTCTGTCTCTCTCTCTCCTCTCTCTCTGTCTCGCTCTCTCCTCTCTCTCTCTCTGTTCTCTCTCTCTCTCTCTCTCTGTCTCTTCTCTCTTCTCTCTATGTCTCTTCTCTCCCTATTCTCTCTCTCTCTCTCTCTGTCTCTCTCTCTCTCTCTCTCTGTCTCGCTCTCCCTCTCTCTCTCTCTCTCTCTCTCACAGTGCATTCGGAAAGTATTCAGACCCCTTGACTTTTTCCACATTTTGTTATGTTACAGCCTTATTCTAAAATTGATTAAATTGTTTTTTTCCCCTCATCAATCTACACACAATACCCCATAATGACAAAGCAAAAACCGGTTTTTAGAAATGTTAGCAAATTTATTACAAATAAAAAACTGAAATATCACATTTACGTAAGTATTCAGATCCTTTACTCAGTACTTTGTTGAAGCACCTTTGGCAGCGATTACAGCCTCAAGTCTTCTTGGGTATGACGCTACAAGCTTGGCACACCTGTATTTGGGGAGTTTCTCCCATTTCTTCTCTGCAGATCCTCTCAAGCTCTGTCAGGTTGGATGGGGAGCGTCGCTGCACAGCTATTTTCAGGTCTCTCCAGAGATGTTCGATTGGGTTCAAGTCTGGGCTCTGGCTGGGCCACTCAAGGACATTCAGAGACTTGTCCCGAAGCCACTCATGCGTTGTCTTGGCTGTGTGCTTAGGGTCGTTGTCCTGTTGGAAGACGAACCTTGGCCCCAGTCTGAGGTCCTGAGTGCTCTGGAGCAGGTTTTCATCAAGGATCTCTCTGTTCTTTGCTCCGTTCATCTTTCCCTCGATCCTGACTAGTCTCCCAGTCCCTGCCGCTGAAAAACATCCCCACAGCATGATGCTGCCACCACCATGCTTCACCGTAGGGATGGTGCCAGGTTTCTTCCAGACGTGATGCTTGGCATTCAGGCCAAAGAGTTCAATCTTGGTTTCATCAGACCAGAGAATCTTGTTTCTCATTGTCTGAGAGTCCTTTAGGTGCCTTTTGGCAAACTCCAAGCGGGCTGTCATGTGCCTTTTACTGAGGAGTGGCTTCCGTCTGGCCACTCTACCATAAAGGCTTGATTGGTGGAGTGCTGCAGAGATGGTTGTCCTTCTGGAAGGTTCTCCCATCTCCACAGAGGAACTCTGGAGCACTTTTAGAGTGACCGTCAGGTGCTTGGTCACCTCCCTGACTAAGGCCCTTCTCCCCCGATTGCTCAGTTTGGCCGGGCGGCCAGATCTACGAAGAGTCTTGGTGGTTCCAAACTTCTTCCATTTAAGAATGATGGAGGCCGCTGTGTTCTTGGGGACCTTCAATGCTGCAGACATTTTTTGGTACCCTTCCCCAGATCTGTACCTCGACACAATCCTGTCTCGGAGCTCTACGGACAATTCCTTCGAACTCATGGCTTGGTTTTTGCTCTGACGTGCACTGTCAACTGTGGGACCTTATATAGACAGGTGTGTGCCTTTCCAAATCATGTCCAATCAATTGAATTTACCACAGGTGGACTCCAATCAAGTTGTAGAAACATCTCAAGGATGATCAATGAAAACAGGATGCACCTGAGCTCAATGTCGAGTCTCATAGCAAAGGGTCTGAATACTTCTGTAAATAAGGTATTTCTGTTTTTTATTTTTAATAAATTTGCGAACGTTTCTAAAAACCTGTTTTCGCTTTGTCATTATGGGGTATTGTGTGTAGATTGATGAGGATTTTTATTGATTTAATCCATTTTAGAATAAGGCTGTAACTTAACAAAATGTGGAAAAAGTCAAGGGGTCTGAATACTTTCCGAATGCACTGTATATTATGGTTATGTACAGTGTTATAACAATGTGCAAATAGTTAAAGTACAAAAGGGAAATAAGTAAATATATTTCTCTCTAATTCAGCTTTATTGGCATGAAATACAATTGGTAGATATAGCCAAAGCAGTTCAGTGGTCCAGGATTTCAGTAAATCCAATGAGGAGAATGAAATCCAGTTCATTTCATTAGTAGCAATGGATGTAGTATATCTAATAATAATAATAATAATAATAATAATATGCCATTTAGCAGACGCTTTTATCCAAAGCGACTTACAGTCATGCGTGCATATTTTTTAAAATGTTTTGTGTGTATGTATGGGTGGTCCCGGGGGATCGAACCCACTACCTTGGCGTTACAAGCGCCGTGCTCTACCAGCTGAGCTACAGAGGACCACTTCAGGAAACTAATGGTCATGGGATGTCCCTCAGGCTGTGGCAATGAGATCCATATCCGGCAGTAATATTTGCCGTTTCTCCCTCACCCAGAATAGATTTGACCCTGTAGTGGGTCAGTGAAGGTGTAGATTTAACCCTGTAGTGGGTCAGTGAAGAGGTAGATTTGACCCTGTAGTGGGTCAGTGAAGGGGTAGATTTGACCCTGTAGTGGGTCAGTGAAGGGGTAGATTTAACCCTGTAGTGGGTCAGTGAAGGGGTAGATTTAACCCTGTAGTGGGTCAGTGAAGAGGTAGATTTAACCCTGTAGTGGGTCAGTGAAGAGGTAGATTTGACCCTGTAGTGGGTCAGTGAAGGGGTAGATTTGACCGCGCCACTTCAGTTCAGCATCATCAGTTAGACTACTGTCCGTCTCTCACCTTCATCTCTTACTCTCTCTTTGACGTGACTGTGTTTTGTCCTTGATATTGAACTGAGATATCTGTGGTCTATGTGGAGAACGGTACTCATGGTGTTGAGATATCTGTGGTCTATGTGGAGAACGGTACTCATGGTGTTGAGATATCTGTGGTCTATGGGGAGAACGGTACTCATGGTGTTGAGATATCTGTGGTCTATGGGGAGAACGGTACTCATGGTGTTGAGATAATCTGTGGTCTATGGGGAGAACGGTACTCATGGTGTTGAGATAATCTGTGGTCTATGTGGAGAACGGTACTCATGGTGTTGAGATATCTGTGGTCTATGTGGAGAACGGTACTCATGGTGTTGAGATAATCTGTGGTCTATGTGGAGAACGGTACTCATGGTGTTGAGATATCTGTGGTCTATGTGGAGAACGGTACTCATGGTGTTGAGATAATCTGTGGTCTATGTGGAGAACGGTACTCATGGTGTTGTTGTGTCTGTGTCTCAGGGGCCTCCCAGCCAACATTCAGCTGAACGTGGACGGAGACAGAGAGGCAGAGAGAATCTACTCCCTGTTCAGCACCTACATGAACAAACTGGTCAATATGCAAGGTCAGATATGCAGATTGTGTGTGTGTGTCTGTGTGTGTGTGTGTGTGTGTGTGTGTGTGTGTGTGTGTGTGTGTGTGTGTGTGTATGTGTGTGTGTGTGTGTGTCTCTGTGTGTGTGTGTGTGTGTGTGTGTGTGTGTGTGTGTGTGTGTGTGTGTGTGTGTGTGTGTGTGTGTGTGTGTGTGTGTGTGTGTGTGTGTGTGCGCGTGCGTGCGTGCGTGCGTGTGTGTGTGTGTGATTGTCTCTGTCTGACCATAGTCTCCTCCCCCCTCCAGAGGCCTGTGGCAGCAGATCAGTATATGACGGTCCGGAGCAGGAGGAGTATTCCAGCTTCCTCATCGACGACCCCCAGGAGACCTATAAGACCCTGAAGGTCATCATCTCCTCTGTTCAAACACTGGAGCAGCAGCACACCAAGTACAAACGAGACGTGTTCAGGAAGACCAAGATCGGCAGCCAGTAAGTCTCATTCTGCTGTGGCTGGGTCTGGTCCGGGACAGTACTGACGGTCATGAAGGGTCAGTGTGGTGATGTTAACCACTGGGTCTGGTCCGGGACAGTACTGACGGTCATGAAGGGTCAGTGTGGTGATGTTAACCACTGGGTCTGGTCCGGGACAGTACTGACGGTCATGAAGGGTCAGTGTGGTGGTGTTAACCACTGGGTCTGGTCCGGGACAGTACTGACGGTCATGAAGGGTCAGTGTGGTGATGTTAACCACTGGGTCTGGTCCGGGACAGTACTGACGGTCATGAAGGGTCAGTGTGGTGATGTTAACCACTGGGTCTGGTCCGGGACAGTACTGACGGTCATGAAGGCTCTGTGTGGTGATGTTAACCACTGGGTCTGGTCCGGGACAGTACTGACGGTCATGAAGGCTCCGTGTGGTGATGTTAACCACTGGGTCTGGTCCGGGACAGTACTGACGGTCATGAAGGGTCAGTGTGGTGATGTTAACCACTGGGTCTGGTCCGGGACGGTACTGACGGTCATGAAGGCTCTGTGTGGTGATGTTAACCACTGGGTCTGGTCCGGGACAGTACTGACGGTCATGAAGGGTCAGTGTGGTGATGTTAACCACTGGGTCTGGTCCGGGACAGTACTGACGGTCATGAAGGGTCAGTGTGGTGATGTTAACCACTGGGTCTGGTCCGGGACAGTACTGACGGTCATGAAGGCTCTGTGTGGTGATGTTAACCACTGGGTCTGGTCCGGGACAGTACTGACGGTCATGAAGGGTCTGTGTGGTGATGTTAACCACAGGGTCTGGTCCGGGACAGTACTGACGGTCATGAAGGCTCTGTGTGGTGATGTTAACCACTGGGTCTGGTCCGGGACAGTACTGACGGTCATGAAGGCTCCGTGTGGTGATGTTAACCACTGGGTGTGGTCCGGGACAGTACTGACGGTCATGAAGGGTCAGTGTGGTGATGTTAACCACTGGGTCTGGTCCGGGACAGTACTGACGGTCATGAAGGGTCAGTGTGGTGATGTTAACCACTGGGTCTGGTCCGGGACAGTACTGACGGTCATGAAGGGTCAGTGTGGTGATGTTAACCACTGGGTCTGGTCCGGGACAGTACTGACGGTCATGAAGGCTCTGTGTGGTGATGTTAACCACTGGGTCTGGTCCGGGACAGTACTGACCGTCATGAAGGCTCCGTGTGGTGATGTTAACCACTGGGTCTGGGCCGGGACAGTACTGACGGTCATGAAGGGTCAGTGTGGTGATGTTAACCACTGGGTCTGGTCCGGGACAGTACTGACGGTCATGAAGGCTCCGTGTGGTGATGTTAACCACTGGGTCTGGTCCGGGACAGTACTGACGGTCATGAAGGGTCAGTGTGGTGATGTTAACCACTGGGTCTGGTCCGGGACAGTACTGACGGTCATGAAGGGTCAGTGTGGTGATGTTAACCACTGGGTCTGGGCCGGGACAGTACTGACGGTCATGAAGGCTCAGTGTGGTGATGTTAACCACTGGGTCTGGTCCGGGACAGTACTGACGGTCATGAAGGGTCAGTGTGGTGATGTTAACCACTGGGTCTGGTCCGGGACAGTACTGACGGTCATGAAGGCTCCGTGTGGTGATGTTAACCACTGGGTCTGGTCCGGGACAGTACTGACGGTCATGAAGGCTCCGTGTGGTGATGTTAACCACTGGGTCTGGTCCGGGACAGTACTGACGGTCATGAAGGGTCAGTGTGGTGATGTTAACCACTGGGTCTGGTCCGGGACAGTACTGACGGTCATGAAGGGTCAGTGTGGTGATGTTAACCACTGGGTCTGGTCCGGGACAGTACTGACGGTCATGAAGGGTCAGTGTGGTGATGTTAACCACTGGGTCTGGTCCGGGACAGTACTGACGGTCATGAAGGCTCCGTGTGGTGATGTTAACCACTGGGTCTGGTCCGGGACAGTACTGACGGTCATGAAGGCTCCGTGTGGTGATGTTAACCACTGGGTCTGGTCCGGGACAGTACTGACGGTCATGAAGGCTCAGTGTGGTGATGTTAACCACTGGGTCTGGTCCGGGACAGTACTGACGGTCATGAAGGGTCAGTGTGGTGATGTTAACCACTGGGTCTGGTCCGGGACAGTACTGACGGTCATGAAGGGTCAGTGTGGTGATGTTAACCACTGGGTCTGGGCCGGGACAGTACTGACGGTCATGAAGGCTCCGTGTGGTGATGTTAACCACTGGGTCTGGTCCGGGACAGTACTGACGGTCATGAAGGCTCAGTGTGGTGATGATAACCACTGGGTCTGGTCCGGGACAGTACTGACGGTCATGAAGGGTCAGTGTGGTGATGTTAACCACTGGGTCTGGTCCGGGACAGTACTGACGGTCATGAAGGGTCAGTGTGGTGATGTTAACCACTGGGTCTGGTCCGGGACAGTACTGACGGTCATGAAGGGTCTGTATGGTGATGTTAACCACTGGGTCTGGTCCGGGACAGTACTGACGGTCATGAAGGCTCTGTGTGGTGATGTTAACCACTGGGTCTGGTCCGGGACAGTACTGACGGTCATGAAGGCTCAGTGTGGTGATGTTAACCACTGGGTCTGGTCCGGGACAGTACTGACGGTCATGAAGGCTCCGTGTGGTGATGTTAACCACTGGGTCTGGTCCGGGACAGTACTGACGGTCATGAAGGCTCTGTGTGGTGATGTTAACCACTGGGTCTGGTCCGGGACAGTACTGACGGTCATGAAGGGTCAGTGTGGTGATGTTAACCACTGGGTCTGGTCCGGGACAGTACTGACGGTCATGAAGGCTCCGTGTGGTGATGTTAACCACTGGGTCTGGTCCGGGACGGTACTGACGGTCATGAAGGGTCAGTGTGGTGATGTTAACCACTGGGTCTGGTCCGGGACAGTACTGACGGTCATGAAGGGTCAGTGTGGTGATGTTAACCACTGGGTCTGGTCCGGGACAGTACTGACGGTCATGAAGGGTCAGTGTGGTGTTAACCACTGGGTCTGGTCCGGGACAGTACTGACGGTCATGAAGGCTCTGTGTGGTGATGTTAACCACTGGGTCTGGTCCGGGACAGTACTGACGGTCATGAATGGTCAGTGTGGTGATGTTAACCACTGGGTCTGGTCCGGGACAGTACTGACGGTCATGAAGGGTCAGTGTGGTGATGTTAACCACTGGGTCTGGTCCGGGAACACAACACAGAATCCACACAACACAACACAACACACACAGTCACTCACACAGTTACACACACATTCACTCACACAGTCACTCACACAGTCACAAACAAACACACACACATGCAGTCACATACACACAGTCACACACACACAGTCACACACACACAGAGTCATACACACAGTCACACACACAGTCACACACACACACACACACACACAGTCACACACACAGTCACTCTGTAATAACGTTCTGTAATATTTCACCCTCCTGACCACACCCCTCTTCTCTGTGTTCCGCAGGGAACATCCAATCGGAGACAAGAGTTTTCAGTGCTACATCCGCCAGCAGTCTGAATGCTCCACCTACTCCATCTAGCCCCACCTACCAACCACTGCCATGGGGCGCAGAGCTCCACCCCCGATGACCTGAGACCTAGCAACACTTCCTGGTTACTCCTGGTCCACGGCTTCCCATGGTGCATATTTCAGAACACGGACACTCAGAGTTCTATCCAGCGTCTATAGGTTTTATTTTCTATGATGATGTGCTAAAACAAACTGTTTTTCTCTGGACTGTCGGTGTACCAGTGACCACGCACTTTAACCCACAACGGACACACCGCCTCAGCACATTTTTAAACAATCATATTTTATTGCTCTTGTTTTGTAATGTTTGATAACAAAATGGTTTAAGTGATATATTATTGGTGTAAAAAAAAAAAAAAAAAATCCTTTGTATTTCAAGTCACACAGACCAAACTCTAGGTTGAAAGACTGTTGGCTTGGGGGGGGCTGGTCCGTTCCACCATGTGTGGGTTTAACCCCTCCCTCCAGGGAGAGACGATGACAGAGGAAGCAGATTAGCCCCTCCCTCCAGGGAGAGACGATGACAGAGGAAGCAGATTAGCCCCTCCCTCCAGGGAGAGACGATGACAGAGGAAAGCAGATTAGCCCCTCCCTCCAGGGAGAGACGATGACAGAGGAAGCAGATTAGCCCCTCCCTCCAGGGAGAGACGATGACAGAGGAAGCAGATTAGCCCCTCCCTCCAGGGAGAGACGATGACAGAGGAAGCAGATTAGCCCCTCCCTCCAGGGAGAGACGATGACAGAGGAAGCAGATTAGCCCCTCCCTCCAGGGAGAGACGATGACAGAGGAAGCAGATTAGCCCCTCCCTCCAGGGAGAGACGATGACAGAGGAAAGCAGATTAGCCCCTCCCTCCAGGGAGAGACGATGACAGAGGAAGCAGATTAGCCCCTCCCTCCAGGGAGAGACGATGACAGAGGAAGCAGATTAGCCCCTCCCTCCAGGGAGAGACGATGACAGAGGAAGCAGATTAGCCCCTCCCTCCAGGGAGAGACGATGACAGAGGAAGCAGACAGTCAGGTAGTTAGTCAGCGACCATAAAAGGACCAGAGCTGTTCAACTGACTCCATGATTACTGCAGCCTTCATTTACTATCTTTATCATCCTGTTTTAACTGTTGTTAAGAGTTGGGAGTTTTTTAATTCAGAGCCTGGCTCTGCTGTTTGTAGTTCCCTGCTCCCTCCTGGCCTGTACCCTGTACCCTGGGTCAGAACTACAAATCCCAGTTCTGTATGCATTCCTCCAGACTTCTCCTTGCTGTGAATCTAGTTCCTTGGTCAGGTCCAGGGCCTATGGAAGATACAGCTCATTATGGTTCACTCTCTGCATTGTGGGAAATGCGGTTCTCCCTTGCTGGAACACACCGTGCCAGAACTACAGTACATATGGCCAGCCATCGTTACCATTTGTTAGCGAAACAACACTTCTG